TATACATCTGTAGGTGTCTTGCTGTGTGTTGAGAGACATGAGGGACTAATTTCAGGGGCTTTGTGACTTCCATGAGAGAGCCCCAAGGATGGGGCAGATTTGGCTGTGGCTGCTGAGATCTTTTTGTCTTGACTGTGCCGTACCGTTTGCCTTACCTTCCGGGATACTATTATTTCTAAAAGATATGTACATTTGCTATAGGCTCACCTAAAATCCTTTGTGTGGCCTCACAGGAGCTGACTAGATGAGGCTATTGTTGGAGTCTCTTTATATACCCTTATGTATTACAGAAGTGAAGCCTGCTAATGTTTTATCTAAATCATTCACTGGGAACAAGTTTTCTAAGTAGAAAATGTCCAAGGTTAGATTGGGGATGTATATTTCATAAGATGCTTTTCATTCAAAGTAATTATTTAAAATTTACCATGAATTTTAATGAACTTACTACATAGCTTCTCCTGTTAATTCAATTCCTGTTTAGTTTGAATTTCTTGTGTAATTTCAGAAAAAAACTTCTGGAATCAAATTAATTGTAGCTAAAATAACATAATTTTCTCATGCTAATAGCAATCAGCTTAAACAGAATTGGACAGTATTAGATAGTTTAATCACAAGTTATAGCAAGTTGACACTTCATTAGTGAGGAAGAGGCCCAGACTTTTAGATTGGGAGGAGGAAGAGCAAATTGTATTGAAAACCAGGCACAGCCTTCTGGCTACAAGTGGATTTTCCCCACATTCTTGTCTGTGGCCATAATTCTTCTGATACCAGAAGAAAAAAATACCCGCAAACTAAGAACTGTTTACTTCCTAGCCAGTGCTAACTCTCTGAGTCACTGGGAAATTTATCTGCATAGATTAAAGAAAGATTTTTTAAAAAATCAGAATAAGATAGAATCCTTTTGAGAACTATTTAAACTTTTCTTTGGAAGCATGAACTTTGAAACTCTGCTATTTAATGTTGGCCCTTCTCTCCCGCCTATTCCTTCCACCAAGTCTTTGTTTGAACGCTCCAGCTTTCCAGGTACCATTTACCTTCTCTACAATGGGAAGTTCTTTTTCTCTTTTTGAGACAAAGTCTTGCTCTGTTGCCTGGGCTAGAGTGCAGTGGTGTCATCATAGCTAACTGTGGCCTCCAACTCCTGGGCACATGTGATCCTCCTGCCTCAGCCTCCCGAGTAGCTGGGTGTGCACCACCACATACTGTTAACTTTTATATTTTTTTGTGGAAATGGGGTCTTGCTATGTTGCTCAGTCTGGTCTTGAACTCCTGGGCTCAAGTGATCCTCCTGCCTAGACCTTCCAAAGTGCTAGGATTACAGGTGTGAACTGCTGCACCCCGCCTAGCTTCAGGTCCTGAATAGCAAAAGGGATTAGGCTCTAGATGCTGCCTAGATTCTTATAAATAGATGAAGATAAAATGTGATTATAGCAGTTTCAGATTTTTCAATAATAACTCATTGAAAACAACTTTCCTCATTCATGAGTGTATATACTAATAAATTGTTCGTTTTATTACCAATATGGTTCCTAAGATGATGTATCTGATAGTGTATTCTACAGCCAGAATATTTTGATCTCAAATTGTTATTTTATTATAATACATGTACTGCTAAAGTATGATTTTAAAAAAAACAATAAAAAATCATGCCTGTTACAATAAGGAGGGAGAGGGATGGATGGGAAAGAGTATGAGAGTAATGATGGAAATTAGTTTCAGTTAAGTTTAAAAAGAATCTACTATGTGGATGAGAGATCCTGGCCCATAGCCTTCCACCTCATTTGCAATGAATTTTCCTGTTCATTCTGTTACTCAAGGCATAACCTACCAAACTATGATAACTAACAATGACAAGAGAAAAAGAAAATCCTCAAGATCTTGACTTACAACAAGAAAGGATTGCATTTGTAGAAATCCCCTCAGTGGACTACAGACACCCTGATTTTTGACAACTGCAGATACCGTGACATGGACATTCTGTTTGTGGTGGATTTCTTCCAGTGGACCGTTTCATTATTGAATGGCTACCAGACTGTAAGACCTGTCTGTAAAACTTACGCAAGAAAAGGTGCTTCAGCCACAACTTAATCTGTGCTTCAGTGGTAAAAAGACCAGAAAAAAAAAAATCCCGAATCAATGGAGCTTCACATACATCATTGTTGTTCAGCATATCACCTTGGTGATGGGAAAGCTTGAGGGGGCCTGAGGTGGTATCAGTCTAAACAATGTTCTCTTTGAATAAATGTGCGTAAAATACACGCTGCTGGTTTCACCTCACCGAGTCACCATACTAATACAAAGAAAGCTTGGTAGAGAATTCCTGGAAGCAGCTGGCCTACATACCTGAACACAGTGGCTGTCTTTCCTACTGTGTCTGGCAGATAGTGGGCGGCTGCAGAATACTGCGTTTGAAGAGAGACTCTCGACACTAAATTGTGTCCACATCTGAGGTGCTGGGGCAGCTCCTGCGGTGGCCTTGGCTGCGGCCTGATCTCTGCTCTCCCCTTGGCCTGACCCCTGATTCTCCTTCAGAGAGTGTGTGGCTCTGTTGTCAGTTGAGTTCACTGGAAGGCATTGTCTGAGCATGTGCACAGGAGGTAGCAGTGTCCTCAGGTCATGACCGATTGACTGAATGGACCTGGCTCTCTCACTCGCTCAAAGTCCACCAGTAGAGTAGCTGCCCCGCATACCCGAAGACTGGGGCCCTGTGAGACTCTGGGGGCAGGCCTGTGGACTCAGCATAAAAGCCATCTAAAAGAAACTTTAGTCTGGGGGCCAACTGTACTGAGGTGCTTGTTACAAAAGCAGGTTCCCGGTTCTGTACCTAGGAGCTGTGATTCAGTATGTCTGGTATAGACATTCTGAGGTATGATGAGCTTTGGGAACTACTGACTTAGAATATCCTTGCATGACATACGTACTACAAAACAGGTTCTCTCACTACGGGGACTTTTGATTACTGTTTGCTTATTTTAAAAATTCATTTATTCAACAAATATTTATCAAATGCCTACTCTGTGCCAGACACTGAGCTAGGTATAGAGTTATGACAGAGAACAAGTTTGACATGGTTTTTGTCTTCATGAAATGGAGAGAAAAACAAGTAAACAAATTAATAACTGCAACAAGAATGATGAAGGACATAACAGGATACTATAATAGAGTGTAACGGATGGAGAAGCAGTAAGTATTTAAAATAAAAAGATGGTTAGAGAAGGCCTTTTTGAGGAGGAAGCCTTTAAACTAAGACCTGGATTAAAAGGAACCAGGCACATGAGGACCATGCTCAGTGGTATACAAAACTTGTGCAAACGCACTGAGGCAGGATTAACCTTGATGTGTTTCAAGAACAGAAAAAAGGCCGAAGTGTCTGGTGCCCAGCAAGTCAGTGGAAGAGAGGTATGAGATTAGGCAGGTGGGGGCCAGATTGCGTGAGCCCCCGGGCCATGGTGAGGATTGAGAGGGGGTGGGGAATTAGAAGTTTAATTGGAAATAGGAGTCTGGAGTTGAGAGCAGAGGCCTACTTTGGGCCGTGAATTTGATGGAAAGCCACGGGAATGGGCAGTCTAACCTAGGTAGAGGCTGGAGAGAGAAAATGGAAGAGGGCCTAGTAAAAGAAGACTCAGAGCAGCCAGGGCTTGGCAGAGGTGGGAGGGTAGGAGGAAAACCAGGAGCTGTAGGCCTGTGGAAGCCACGAGAGGAGCATGCTCAAAGAGAGACTGTTGGTTGCCTCATTGCTGCTGGAAAGTCTAGCACAGTGCTGTCCACTCGCTAGCTGCATGTGGCTATGGAGCACTTGGAAGGTGACTACAGCAAACTGAGATGTGAGTGTAAAAGAAAATGCATGCCGGATTTCAAAGACTCAGTATAAAAACAAGAATGAAAAGTATTTCAGCCTTTCGGCCGGAGCCGCCATCTTCCAGTAATTCGCCAAAATGACGAACACAAAGGGAAAGAGGAGAGACACGCGGTACATGTTCTCTAGGCCTTTTAGAAAACATGGAGCTGTTCCTTTGGCCACATACATGCGAATCTACAAGAAAGGTGATATTGTAGACATGAAGGGAATGGGTACTGTTCAAAAAGGCATGCCCCACAAATGTTACCACGACAAAACTGAGAGAGTCTACAGTGTTACCCAGCATGCTGTTGGAATTGTTGTAAACAAACAAGTTAAGGGCAAGATTCTTGCCAAGAGGATTAATGTGCATATTGAGCGTATTAAGCACTCTAAGAGCCTAGATAGGTTCCTGAAACGTGTGAAGGAAAATGATCAGAAAAAGAAGGAAGCCAAAGAGAAAGGTACCTGGGTTCAACTGAAGCGCCAGCCCGCTGCACCGAGAGAAGCACACTTTGTGAGAACCAATGGAAAGGAGCCTCAGCTGCTGGAACCTATCCCCTATGAGTTCATGCCATAGGAGACAAAGCTAATAAAAGCCGCTGGACTCTAAAAAAAAAGAAAAAAAAAAAAAGAAAGAAAAATATTTCATTAATAATTTTTAAGTAATAATTACATGTTGAGATTATATTTGGGATTTATTGGGTTAAATAAAAAATATTATGAAAATTTCATCTGCTTCTCTTTACCTTTTTAAGGTATGGCTACCAGAAAATTTAAAATTCCACGTGTGGCTTGCATTGTATTTCTATTGCAGAGTTTGACAACATGGAGGTTATTAGGACACTTGGTAAGAGTAGACTGCCTGAGATTAAGTACTAGCTAGCAAATTGTTTATACACCAATGAGACAGAACCATCTTCATAATAATACTGTTTTGCCTAAAATTAGATAATGAAATTCACTGTGAAAATTTCTTCCAGATTTTTCGATATGCGTGTGATTTAGTAATTTCACATAAATTGAGAATATAATATGTATTTAAATTAAACCCTTTGCAGTCAACTCTCAAATGTGGTTTAACAAATTTTTTAACCTGAATTTTTCTTTCTTTCCTTTTTTTTTGCCTTTTTTTCTTTTTCTTTTTTTCATATCTGGCCAGGAAACTTCATGGTGTTATGGTCAACTTGCCGCACCACCGTGTTCAAATCTGTCACCAACAGGTTCATTAAAAACCTGGCCTGCTCGGGGATTTGTGCCAGCCTGGTCTGCGTGCCCTTCGACATCATCCTCAGCACCAGTCCTCACTGCTGCTGGTGGATCTACACCATGCTCTTCTGCAAGGTTGTCAAATTTTTGCACAAAGTTTTCTGCTCTGTGACTATCCTCAGCTTCCCTGCCATTGCTCTGGACAGGTAAGATCAGGTAGCCAGGGACTGAAGTTTTTTGTGGTTTTTTTTTTTAATGTGTATTGAAAAATTAACATCATGAAGCAAATGATGACTAGTCCATGTTCCATACACTGCCTTTTTGTCTGCTTGTGATCAACAGAAAGAGAATGAATGTCCAAAACAGATGCCTCCCAAAGGACAGGTTGATTTAACAGCAGCCATGGAAAATAGAACCATTGAGAAAAGACCTGGGGGTGACAGTGACATTGTGAGGCTGCTGGGGCAGAGCTACTAGATCGTGGTGTCACTTCAGCTTGGTTGGAATTGGTGGCATTTACATTGCAATTTGCAGTAGATTGTTCATTTCCTTGATAAATCTGCACTTAGGGCTTTTTGATGCAAGATAAAACATTTTTGGAAGAACAAGGGAATGATTCAGCAGTTATTTAACAAATGATTAGATGGTCCACTTGGATCTGGCCAGGTAACACCAGAATTCCTCTGGAAGATTTATTTCCAAGGCTTCATATTGTGGTGGTTGTTTTCTCTTCCCAGCCTCTTTAGAAAGATGTTCATTTGGAAATGAATCTTATATCTCAGTTACTGCCATCATACATATCATACCCGATTTGATCAAATGTATCAAAGTGTAAAGATCTCAGTAATCAACAGCTTCCTGCCTTTTCCCTTTGTTGCTAGCACCTCATGACTACAATTTAGATAATAATACATTCCAGAGAATAGAATTAAGGAAGCAAGCAAGAATTGAAAAGTATTTTGCATCTATGAGTACTTTTGATTCCAAGATTAACAGAAAGGAAACGTTGCCGAAGGGAAAGTGTTGGCTATTCTGGCTTCATACCCTATGTTAAATTTTAACTTCATTTTAGATGAATTTGAAATTTTAAAACTCATTGTCCATTCAAAACATACTTAATATCTTAATGACCTGTGAGGGTATTGATTGCAGCACTGATCTGTGGAGTCAGTTCAGCCTCTCAGGCTTGGAACCCTGATTCAGCTGCCTGATGTGGTCTGCATGAGGGGACAGAGTCACACAAGGCCCCCAACCTACTGGGAGAAGTCATTGGCCTTCGACATTGTGGTTGAGAGAGTGGACTCTAGAGCCAGAAGTGTGGGTTTGAGTCCTGCCTTCATTGCTCTCTAGCTAGGTGGCTTTGAGCAAAATTGCTTAACTTTTTTGAGCCTCAGTTTCCTCAGTGGTAAGAAGAATTAAGTGAATTATTTCTGTCATGTGTTTGAATAGGCTGCACCAATATTTGCTTGTCTTTCTCTAGGTTTCCCTTCTGATTGGCACATTCTTCTTTAGGTATGTTGTCTGAAATTATTTTACCATCAGATCTTGCTGGCATCTACTCCAGCTCTTTAGAAGGGACTAGAATCTCACCATACACAGGGCCAGACAAGGCGGTGACAAAGTCAGGTGACAACAGGCCAGATTGAGATTGTGGCACATGGAGAGTGTGTCCGCATTCCTGTTCGTAGGGGTCAGCCACTCGGCAGTTGCAGCTAATATTTGCTTTGCAGGTATCTAGACTCAGAGTGCAGGACTTTTCATTTTTAGAAGAGAAATTTTAAAAGTCCATATTTCTATTATTTTTAAATGTTGGCAATTAATTTTCATTCAAAAAATATTACCTGGGCCTTCCGGATCCCTTCAGCAAGGTGCATGTGCGCTGTGAGATCCCAGTTCACCATTCCCCCTTACGGTGACCTTGCATGGCTTTTCCGGGGTTTGACAAGAGAGATCTTTGAATATCTGGAAAGTGCCATTGCACTTTGGAACATAAAAGTAAAAGTCAGAGTCTTTTCCCAAGTTTCTATCCCAGCGGGTGCTCCAATGTGTTTTGTGTTCAAACATTTCGCGTTCATGGCAGCTGTCCTTCTGCCCGTCTCCCGCGGCACCTGCTCTGGTGAAGTCTTAATGTCTTCAGTTTTACGTTCGGGACTCTTCTTTCCTAAAAGCATTCTAAAAACAGTTTTGAGATATAATATACATATTATAAAATTCACCCATTGAAAGCGTACAGGCCAATGAATTTTAGTGTACTTACAGAGTTGTACAACCATCACCGCCATCTAATTTTAGGACAGTCCCCTCACCCTATGAAGAAACCTTGTGCCCATTTACAGTCACTCCCCGTTCCCATCCCCAGCCCTAGGCAACCACTAATCTAATTCTGTCTTTATATGTTTGCTCTTCTTGGACATTTCATATAAGTAGAATCGTACAATATGTATTCTTTTGTGTCTGGCTTCTTCCACTTAGCATGTTTTCAAGGTTCATGTATGTTGTAGCGTGTATCAAGACTGCATTTCTACAGCTGAATAGTATTCCATGGTAGGGGTATACCACATTGTGTTTCTCTATTTCCTAATTGATGACATTTGGGTTGTTTCTACTTTTTGGCTATTGGGGATAATGCTGCTATGAATCCTAAAAGTTTTTTAAGAATAGGATTCAACAAGAGGGGGAACACATTATTCTGAACAGTTTGCTGTTATACCTGGAAGCAATGCAATGATCCCTGTGGGTTATTTCTGGGCCCTTGATCTGAGACAAGGAAATATACAAACAATAAGAAATTCTTATTTTTGTTCCAGCAGAAAAACTCTTGCAATTTTACCATCACTAAAAAAGAAAAAATGTAAAACGAGTCCTTTTAGTAGAAAAACAAGACTGGTAAATTCTTTTTTTTTTTTTTTTTTGAGACAGAGTCTCACTGTGTTGCCCGGGCTAGAGTGCCGTGGCGTCATCCTAGCTCACAGCAACCTCAAACTCCTGGGCTCAAGCGATCCTCCTGCCTCAGCTTCCGAGTAGCTGGGACTACAGGCATGCGCCACCATGCCCGGCTAATTTTTTCTATATTTTTAGTTGTCCAATTAATTTCTTTCTATTTTTAGTAGAGACAGGGTCTTGCTCTTGCTCAGGCTGGTTTCGAACTCCTGAGCTCAAACAATCCGCCCGCCTCAGCCTCCCAGAGAGCGAGGATTACAGGCGTGAGCCACCGCGCCTGGCCTAGGCTGGTAAATTCTTATTTTATTATTCAGAGATGCACATTACTTGCAAGCATCAGCACAATGCACATGAAGAAGGGAAGACAGTCCTTTCTTCTCACTTCTTTCACAGCTACTTGTTTCATGGCACTAAGTCAGCGAGTTAATTGGGAGGCCACCTACACTACCTGCATTGTTTTGTAGAGCTGTACACACTAAGACAATTATTTGTAATGAGCCTCTGTGCTTATGTCGTGGTCTGTTTCCCAACACACAAGGGGAGTGGAAATTGATGGGAGCCTGAGTTTGTTATATGTCAGGAAGCAGATGGGAATCAGAGCCCTGTGCTCCTAGGCACGGATTCATGTGTGGGGCGGCGCCATCACAGATTTATAGAATTGTGATTAGAAAAGTTGTCTGTATTCAGAGAAAAATAATGTTGAGAGCATGTATCTCTTGTGCACTTTTTTCTCTTTTTTTTCCTCTCTCTCAGAAAGAAATCTAGAACACACTTCACTATGCTCCATCCTCCCCCGATCATCCATGGTCACTGTTGTGTTTGCATCCCATCTCCCTCAGCCTGGAACATCCTCCCTCAGCTTGTCCTCCTGCCAGACTCCACCACAGTGCCTCCTTCTCTTTGATATTTTGCCAGGTAGCTTTAGGTGCTCGCTGTTCTGTACCTCCTTTGTGCCTGCCTGCAGTAGAGCCGTCATCTCCTTGTTTATAACTGTTAGTGCGCATGTCTTTTTTCCCACTGAATTTAAAGATATTTCTGTATGTCTCTTCATCTTTGTAACCTGCCTGGCACAGGCCCTGGTACATAGGTGGTGCTCAGAAATACTTGTTATGGGAAGGCTTGCATGCTTACCTTGTCCCATGAGTGAATGAATGTCACTAAGGTTGTAAGGTCAACCCCAGCATTAGCTTAGCTGAGCCACGTGTCTGCAGTCAGTTAATGCAAAGAAACTTTCCATATCTCTGATGGCTAGTAGCAGCCCTTTTATGACAGATCATGGTTCCAGGGTCTGAAGAATTACTCAGTTCCTCCAAATCAGTGATGATGTTGAAACAAAATGCCTTTGGAATTCTGTTTAGATGGTTACAGAATGATCAAGTTAAATCTTGGAAGGCAAAGAAAAGTCTCTTCTGATTTTAACAAAAATCTAATTGTGCAGGCATTTTAGATCTACTAATTGCTCTTAGGGTTACTGAGTGATTGTCATGGGAACAATGGCTATTGAGTAGGCATAACTTTTGTCAGCTGAAGTGATTTTGTGGAGGGGCCTTCTTGGAGTCCATCCTTCATGCCGGGTTCTTCTGTCCTGAGCAGCTCTAAATGCTAATGACATCCAGTGCATAGACTGTGGCATGAGTCTGCTTTGGATATGTGTGCAGTGGACAGACTGGTTTCTGTTGGTGGCTTTGAAAATGGCCCTAAGGCTTCTCTAACTCATGTGAAATTTTTACAAGTTACCCTTTACCCTTAAATTGCAAAGCAGATGTCAGCAATGAAGACAAATGAAGACATCCCTTATACTGAGGACACTCTTTGAGGTTTAATCCTGGTGGCAATTAATTATAAAGCTAGATATGAATTGAAATTATTTATTTGTTTTCCTGATGGAAAAAGAGGCTTGGAAGTCTTGTGAAGCCAGGGCTTTTCTCTGTTCCTTTGGAAAGGTTGTGGGGTTTTTTTGTCTAGTGATATTTCTCATTGTACTACAAAGTCCTCAGAACTTAAGGTCCAGTTCTTGGCTTCCTCCAATAGTTCTCTGTGTCTTAGGCCAAATAGAAGAATTTGATTCTTTTCCCCCTCCCACCTACTTTTGCTAATAGAGATTCCCCTAATTTAAAGAGCATCTTCTGTGAAATTAATTTTGTTTGTGTATCTGGCAGGTACTACTCAGTCCTCTATCCGCTGGAGAGAAAAATATCTGATGCCAAGTCCCGTGAGCTGGTGATGTACATCTGGGCCCATGCAGTGGTAGCGAGCGTCCCTGTGTTTGCAGTGACCAATGTGGCCGACATCTATGCCATGTCCACCTGCACAGAAGTCTGGAGCAACTCCTTGGGCCACCTGGTGTACGTTCTGGTCTATAACATCACCACGGTCATTGTGCCTGTGGCTGTGGTGTTCTTCTTCTTGATCCTGATCCGACGGGCTCTGAGCGCCAGCCAGAAGAAGAAGGTCATCATAGCAGCGCTCCGGACCCCGCAGAACACCATCTCTATCCCCTATGCCTCCCAGCGGGAAGCTGAGCTGCATGCCACCCTGCTCTCCATGGTGATGGTCTTCATCTTGTGTAGTGTGCCCTACGCCACCCTGGTTGTCTACCAGACTGTGCTCAATGTCCCCGACACCTCTGTCTTCTTGCTGCTCACTGCCATTTGGCTGCCCAAAGTCTCTCTGCTGGCAAACCCTGTTCTCTTTCTTACTGTGAACAAATCTGTCCGCAAGTGCTTGATAGGGACCTTGGTGCAACTGCACCACCGATACAGTCGCCGTAATGTGGTTAGCACAGGGAGTGGGATGGCCGATGCCAGCCTGGAGCCCAGCATGCGCTCAGGCAGCCAGCTCCTGGAGATGTTCCACATCGGGCAGCAGCAGATCTTTAAGCCCACAGAGGATGAGGAAGAGAGTGAGGCCAAGTACACTGGCTCAGCTGACTTCCAGGCCAAGGAGATACTCACCCCCTGCCTGGAGGGAGAGCAGGGGCCACAGCTTGTACCCCCTGCACCACCCCCAGGCACAGTGGACTCTATATCCCAGGTGGCACCAGCACCTGTGGAACCTGAGACATTCCCTGATAAGTATTCCCTGCAATTTGGCTTTGGGCCTTTCGAGTTGCCCCCTCAGTGGCTCTCAGAGACCCGAAACAGCAAGAAACGGCTGCTTCCCCCCTTGGGTAACACCCCAGAAGAGCTGATCCAGACAAAGATGCCCAAGGTAGGCAGGGTGGAGCGGAAGATGAGCAGGAACAATAAAGTGAGCATTTTCCCAAAGGTGGATTCCTAGCAAGGATTGTCAATTCCTGGAAGTGACAGGGAGGGTCCACGTGCCCACCCTTCCTTCGCTCTGACCGTGTGGTTTGTGTGATCTCATTGCAGCTCAATACGAGTTGATTTCTTCTGTATGAGCCAAATGCTTTTGAGTGCTATGGAAGTCTGTATGAAATCAAATGTCCTCTTTATTGAGGGAGTATATATATATCCATCTCTGTGATCTATGTCCTTAGTAAAGTCCATGTTGTTCTCTGTGGGCATGAAAGCCAGGCAGTTTTCAATGGGTCTTGAGGGGGGTGCTCCATGTGCATCCTCTGGGGACCCTCCACTTCCCTGAGCTCAGCAGAGCACACACAGAGAGAAGAGCGCCCACCAGCTCTAAGGGAGCAAGGGCACTCTAAGGAATTCCAAGATAATTATGGAGCAGAGAAAAATGCCTATTTGATTAATTTAAACATGACAAATAGGGAGACCTTTTGAGAAGACAGAGACTTGGCATCTGACACCGTTTCCTTGGAAGCCCCCATCATATGACTCACGGTTTCTCCCAATACCCGCCATCCCTTTCCCTGGAATAGAAGCAAAGGATGACTATTCCGCCCCTCTTTGATAGACCTGGCAGTAGATGTGCCTGGGGGTAAGGGAGACAATTTGTCTCCGATTATCCTGACATTCTCTTGGCATCACCAAGGCCTCAGAAAGATGCACCTGAACCCTCCAGTCATGGTCAGCGTTGGCTGGAAAACACTGCACACTCTTCGCTCTGTCTTTCCCCTTAAAGTGTGTTTTCTCGACAAACGAGAGACAAGCTTACAGGTGGAGCAGACAGGCTGGGAGATGCCCATGGCACTATAGTCTTTTCTCTTCCTCGGGATCTCACATGAAAGGTGCTATGTAACAATCAGTATGAGTTAAAGTATATGGAAAAACCATCTTATGCAAACTTTTGGAATTAGAAGATAATTTAAAAATGCAGAGTTAGGGTAAGCTTGGTCTTTTGGAAATGTCAAGCTGAAGATACATCATTAGGAAAGGTGATTCTGCCCAAAAGACCGCCAAGAATCTGACAGGGTTCTGTTCTCCTGAGGACTCCAGGACTCAGGCATGGCCATCTCATTTGCAGTCTGTACAACTGTGTTTCTCCCTTCATTTTGGACATGGAGGAGGAAAAGAACAGGGAGAAATAATTAATCATTGTAAAATGCTAAGGCAATACCTAGTCCAGGTGAGCTGTCCACTTCCTCCTTCCCAGTGAAGTTTTAGTGGGGAGCCAGCGTGGGTAGAAGAGGGAGGGCAGTGTCCTCAACTGATCAGTCTCACAAGCAATTCAGGCCTCCTCTGGGGTGGATTTCACCAGGCTGAATTTGAACCACGGCTGACACTTCACTCTTAGTGAGGGCAAACCAAGTGCCAGCTCTACTTTACTCTCTAGCTGTCTTTTTCTTGCTGTTGACACTTGGGGGAGCCAATCTTGTGCCTTGAGCAAGCTTGAAGGGCAGTGGGTGTCCTCGCTGGCAAACTTCCACACCCCAAGTGCAGTGGTCCTGACACATCCCCTCCTTAACAGCACCGGCTCCTTGTCTTCAGAGGGAGCGCAGACGATGTGTAGGGAGTTTCCTTTTCCTCTGTTCTCTTGGGTGTGGTGTCTTGTGCATCCTGAATGTGAACCCAAAGACCCTGCCCCTGGAGAGGGTCTGCCTGCCTCTTTGTCTTGGCCTCCTTGCAGCGTCGTTTGCTCACAGCAGAAACGGGGGACTGCCATGTCCTCCTGTGCTCCCCTGCCTCCTGGCCCCTGTGTGCACGCCATCTGTAGCTCCCTGCCCTGGTAGTTCACGTTGTGGTCCTCAAAACTTATCTTCCAAAACCTTCACAATTGTTCTATCTTTTATCAAGGGAAAAAATAATCTGTCAGAAAATTGTGTCCACTTTAGAAGAACCTGTCAAATGTAGCCACTTTGCTGTCGTTCTGATAGTATACTGTATGTGTACAACTTAATAAATTCTGGCGAGGCAGAATTTGGTTGGGTATATGTCTTACGTATGTTTGAAGCAGATGGTTGACTTCTAACAAGTCATTGCCAGGTATATTTCTATACTCTTTGAAGAATAACATTTTAATAAAAAATGGAAAAGCAGTTTCTGATCTCAAAAAAATGTGTGTGGGCTATGTTTTTTCCCCTTCTTATCCCTCTCGAGTGGTATGCCGTGTGAACCTCTCTCTTCCAATGTGGTTTCAGATGAAAGATATTCATCTTTCTTCCATAAATGCAGAGGCAGCATTGCAGTAGCATTTTCTTGTTTTGTTGCAACTAAAAGAAAACAAATTCCCAAAGGAGAAAACACAACATTTGAATAAATGTCACAAAGATGGGTTCCAAAGTGAATTGGTGCATGGACTGCCCAAATCTTTTTTTTTTTTGAGACAGCATCTCACTCTGTTGCCCGGGCTAGAGTGCTGTGGTGTCAGCCCAGCTCACAGCAACCTCAAACTCCTGGGCTCAAGCGATCCTCCTGCCTCAGCCTCCCAAGTAGCTGGGACTACAGGCATGCGCCACCATGCCCGGCTAATTTTTTCTAATTTTAGTAGAGATAAGGGTCTTATTAGTGCTCAGGCTGGTCTCGAACTCCTGAGCTCAAGCAATCCTCCTGCCTCAGCCTCCCAGAGTGCTAGGAACTGCCCAAATCTTTACACAAGGGAAGAGCAGAGCATGGCCATCACCATCCCTCCCGTGGGGGAAGGTCAATAGCACAGTGATTAGGGCCTTGAGCTCTGTGGTCAGATAGCCCATGCTGGAATCCTGGCCCTACCACTGACTATCCTTGTGCAGGTGAGGTAACCTCCGTGTATCTCAGTTTCCGTTCTGTAAAATGGGGGCATAATAACTGTGTCAGGAGCTTCTGTTGCCCCAACTCACATACTTTACCACTGACTTGCACTGTGTCTGCAGTGGGCCGTTGCTGGCTGCGTCTACTCACTTCCCTGCCAGCAGTCAAGGCCTGGCTTCTCTGCTTTCTGTCCTGGGAGAGCCCCCTATCTCCAAGGGTAACCCTTGACATGAGGGTCATGGGAACCAGTGGATAAAAACCTCAGCTTCCTGCCCTTTTGCTGGACAGTTATGGAGGCCTCTGTCCAGTTCTCAGGAAGTCAAGCAGAGTTAAGTCCCGGAGGCCCATATGGTGCCTAAATCATGCGCCCTTATGTTGGCTCTGCCTTCTCCTTCCTCGTTTGCTCCAGCCCTCATTCATGCCCTCCAGGATCACCTCCCAAGTATACTATTAATAGCTGCATGGCGCCCTTCTCTCAAGCTCTGTTTGCAGAGGGATCCAAGTGAGACAATGATATACCTCGGGACACTTGGGAGTATTAAACGAGATGATCTGTTTAACACAATGTCTGTCACAGAGCACAGCTATATCGATGTTAGTGCTTACATCTATAAAAATTTGATCAGGGAGCTTATTTGGAATGTTCTTAGAAAACTAAGTTAACTCATCTTTCTCCAGTTATTCCAGCAGTAATTGATACTCATAATGATGATACTTTGGGGTAGTACGTAATGCCAAAGGACTCTTTGATTCCCTGAAAAAAAAATAACCTGTCTTAGCCGGAATAGTTCTTAACTAGACAATTCTCAGTTTTAAAAAAAGAGAATGTTAAAAGAATATTCAACTTTGTTGCAAACCTATAAGTCATATCTGAATATAAATGCACATCATTTATTATGTCAATGAAGTAAGAATAGAGCAGATTATAGAGTATCGAAAGGTAGACATACAAATCCCAAGTGGTCCCATCCATAGGAAAGGAACTGCAAATTAATTGCTTGGCAAACTAAATGAACATCTGGAATTCAAACACAGGTCTGATTCACCTGGAGAGAAAGGCCACTGCTCCATCCCAGCTCCGTAACACCGAGCTCTTGGCAGACCTACACCTGGGGTGAGGTGGGCTGCAAGCACGTGGCTGCTGCCACACGTCAGATCTGAGATGCTCAGAGGGAAAGAAAAAAACTTAGGCTTATTTGGTGGAGGGGAAGGGTTAATGCTTTCACGGTGTAGTCTACCAATGTCTCGACATATCATGTAAATAATACCATAACACAGTGATTAACTTCCCTGAAACAGCTGTAAAAATTTCGCAGGTTTATGTCACAACTAATGTGCCATATTAGAGTTCTATAGCAAAAAGACAAATGAATCATGGTAACCAACCTGAGAATATGTGAATAAAACAGAAATGGAAATCAGTACCAATGCCCAGGGCAGCAGCACAAGACTTTTTGTGGGAGGCTTTTAAAATAAATTGAAATGATCTTAGATTCTCCATATATGCAGTTTCAGAAGATAAAATCTCTCTCCTTCTCTTAGCCTCAGGTTCGACCAGTGTTTTTCCCCACTTGTGCCACGGGGATACATTAGTTAATAGGCAGAATAAAGGCCTAGAAGCCTTTATAGAAATTAAACTATGATCTCCTTCATTGTTTTATGTGAACCTCTACTGCTACTCATGTTCTGGGGACTCAGGAGCCTCTTATGGCCAAATTTAAATGAATGAATGATAAATGAATGAATAAATAAGAGATACAGCACCTGGAGCAGTGGCAGAATCCCTGTCGTGTATGGCTGATGAAAGATTTACTGCCAGTGAGTTTTTTCTTGTTCTCATTGACTTCCTTGGAAGGACTTCTGCAGGGTAAAGGCATTAAATGCAAGGTCTTTGATCCACCTCCTTCTTCAAACACCCAAGACTCCCTTCAATTCTCTAGAGGACGTGTAGATTCCATACCTGGAAGGGAAGTTCAATACTGAGAAACATGGTTCTAGGCAGGTGTGGTGCTATGAAGAATAACTTTTTTCACCTGTATTAATCAGAGTTTGCTGATTAAATCTTTCTGCCCCTCAAGTTTCTTTCTGTATGCTTATTCACTGTAGTCCATATACAAAATGTAATGTACACACAAAGGACATGCTGGAATGAACATGCGGTGTATGTTCTGAGGCAACAGGAGAGGAAATGTTACTTGTGTGGGATAATGCTTTTGCAGTCCTCACGTATCTAATTTCTCTTCTCCCCTTTGCTTTGCTCTTTATAATCACATATGTTGCCTCAGGGGAGGGGACAAGGCATTCGCTGCCTCAAGGGAAAGCAAATAGCCTTTGAGTCTCTTTCTAGTTGTTGTGTATCAAAATCTAGGTCTTAGGAGAACAGAGAGAACTCCTGGGGTTTGGCCAGTGAATTTTTGGTAATGATTGTTAAGAATTGGGGGATGTTCCAGGTGTCTATTGGATAAAGGCCAGGGATGCTACTAAGTACCCTAAAATGCACAGGACAGCCCCCCACAACAAAAAATTATCTGGTCCAAAATATCAATAGCGCTAAGGTTGAGACACTCTGTAGTAGCCAAAGGTTTGAGGTAGATTGGGGAGGGGAGGGCTATCTCTACCAGTAGAAAAAGCTCCCATGGGGTTGAGGATAGTGGAGAGAAGAGAAGCCAGAGGTAAGTGATGGGAATATGGACATCTGTACCTTCTGGGTAAAGGGGCCCAAAGTTTGCTTCGTAGGCAAAGTCCTAAGGATACAGCAAAACAAGGAAAGATCATGCTGCCCAGGTCATAGATATCCCGGGTATAAGAGTCTGATAGTAAATCCAAGTAGCCAGGGCCTCATACAGAAACTTAAAGGTGTTTACATGAGTGTCATGAAAGAAAGAGAAAGCTTCAAATGTAAAGGTGCAGATGTACAAGAAGGTTGGATGTCTCAGTGTCAACTTGCTTGGATCTCTGGATTAAATGGGACAAGGGATGACTACGTAGGCAATGACATCGAAGACAGACATCCTTCCTACGCTTAGGCCCCGCACCGTGGTATAATGTGAGAGGGGAGCAAAGCCCGAACATCTGACATTATTTCGACTATCCCAGGGTCTCAAAATGAAAATTAAGCTATAGCAAAAAAATAAAGAAAATTACATTTTTCACACTAAGTTTGTGGACTGAAGCAATTGGTTTATATTCAAATCTTGAAAAGGGAATTGGTCTTTAGGGCCCTTTTTAACTCTGAAGTTTTATGATACTATTTCCTATTTTTATTCCACATGAATACATGCTTATAAAAAATCTTTCGTAGTTTGTTTTGGCTTTCCCCTACCAAAATTCTTATTCCCTTTTTGTACTTTATCCTTTGGTACATTTCAAGGAGGAAATTTGATGCAGATAGTTTTACATAATATCATCCTAAGGTCCATGTAGAATTAAACTCTGACTTTCTGTTTCCAGGTTGTTTCTCTCAGAGAAAATTTAATGTAAGTGTACGATTATTTAAAAGACAAATGATAAGAGGTATAATTCTCTTCCTAAACCCAGCTGTTGAAAGACAGTACTAGGATTCTAGCCAGTTTTAAATATAGGTGAAATCATGGCTATAGATTTAGAGAAAATGAGACAATTGAAATTGCATTGAAAAGGAAAATATACCTAAACATTTGATCAAGTGTTTCATTGGTTTATTGGGAGTTGATTTTGGGAAAGAAAGGCTCATACATTCAGTCACTGTGAAGACTGTTCTGAACACATGAGAGTACTTTTACATGAACAGGTGTCACAAGCTGGGGCAGATGCTGTTATTATACTTACCCCCTAAACATCTGTTTTCCTTCTTTCTTCCTCACCCCACCCTCAGCTCCAGGGGTGGGTCCCAACTGCAGCGAACTAATTAGTGCATAGGATTCCCTCGGTCTGGGGTGGGTATGTACTCTGAGTTGACTGATCAGATTGAAGGAAGGATTTATATTCCACAGATAGTTTATGAGTTTGCTTTTCCTACTAGGTATGAACAAAGAAGTGTATAGACACAATGATTATAAAACAAGATGCTCAGTAGGACTTTTCCTGGTGTCTTGGGATTGTGACTGAAGTCCCAAAGCTGTGGACAAGAGGTGCCCAAATGCTCACATTTATATGATTGACTAAGAAGCTGCATATTGAGCTCTGTTGCCCCAACCCTTCCCCCTGTCCCCTAAGCAAACTCAGGCTATTTATAGAGAGAAACCAGAAGATGTTTAAAGAGTTGTCTAGGTCATAAGACATCTGCTCAGTGGAAAATTCAAGCCTGGCCTTCTTTTCCTCCGTT